CATTACCTTTAGGCGTGTGCGCCTGGTAGGTAGGCAACCCACACAACACGCCCCAAGTCGGCCCCCCCCGCCGCGAAGCACTTCCGCGGCCCCTGCTTTTCAGTGAAAAACACACGAATAATCTACCCCTGCTCAATGAGGGACGAAGAATTAGATTAGTTTTGGAGGGTTCCTTCAGCTAAAGTCGGAATTCGTTTTGTTCTCACTGAAAACTGCGTAATAACTCATGTCGATCACTAGACGATCACGCGGTGCACATTGCAGTTTTTGTGGAATATTTTTTAAAAGAGCTCTGAGTAACAGAAATGGTCGGGCCACAGGCCCAATCATCGCTGCCGGCAATAGTGCGTCACTACGCAGTTTTCAGGGCTGCCGCTCAACAGTGTACAACAGTGCTACAACTAAGTTTCCGACTTGTCTTGGGATTTTCGCGTACTACGTATTCCAAGACACCAACGCAGCATTTTCATCTGAGTATTAAAGTACTTTTATATCACCGATGTCTTATCCAAAGCTTGTCGTTTCTGTACAATAACCATTGCTGTCCAATTTTTCCGAAAAGAATCGGAAAAAATCCGATTTTTTTCCACCGTTTTTATTTTTCCGGAAAACTTTGAACCCTAAACATTTGTCGTGTGTATACGACGCGAAGTCGTTCCAGACATTGTCGTATATTCACGACCCAAAATTTTTCCAGAACGAAATTGTTCCATGATTTAGAAGTGAGATTAATTAAAAGCACTTTCCAGTTTAGTCTGCTGACCTTTAAAATGAAACGAACTGTTTTGTTATGACACAAGAATATAGTAATAATACGGAATCCAAGTCATGGAGATTAACGTGGTCTTTGTCGTTACCCAACAACATATTCATCTTTAGAAAAGGAAAAAAACAATTCTTGTTAACCATAAACGGACCCGTAGTTAAGAAAATTTTCTATTTTATAGTTTTGAGCAAAAAATTTTGAATGTACAAGTTTGCGCCGCCTCATAGCGCCATATCACTCGTACAATCTGCTTTTGGACGCCATGTAGGCGTTTCATGCCTGCTCGCTGCATTGCTCGCGACGAGGGGTAAACAACTCTGAAATGGGTGTACGAATGCCTTGAAATAGTTCTGAAATGGCGTGAAATGTTCTTGAAATGGTTGAAATGGTTTTGAAATGGTTTAAATGGTTCATCTTGAAATTGCCTTGAAATGGTTGAAATGATCTTGAAATTGGTATGAAATGGTCTTGAAATTGATATGAAATGGTTGAAATGGTCTTGAAATGGTTTGGAAATGGTTGACATGGTTAGTCTTGAAATGGTTGAAATGGTCCTAAAATTGTTGAAATGTTTTGAAATCTGAAATGGTGGTGTACACCAAAATTAGTAGTTGTTTACCCCTCGGCTCGCGAGCAAGTTCTGAAAGGAAGCGAATGGAGCCGCGGGACGAGACAAGAAGAAACTCGATTGTGCCGTGACAGAAAATATAGAAGAACTTCGTGAAGCACCTACAAATTTTCAACCTAAGCAAACATGCACTTTTCGTTAAAATGCTTCTATATGTCGTAAATATGTCAAATAACACATATTTCGAAAACCACGCAAAAAGGGGGGGGGGAGCCAAAACCACCACAGATCCATGATACCACAGGGGGGAAGAGGGGAGGGGGATCAAAACATGCCGAAAACCCGTCACGTGGTTTGGGTGCGGCCCCTTAGTGGGTGGCAAAGAAAAATGTTCGGTAAATTACGGGAAACCTTTAAAACTTTGCCGTACAGTCAATTGCCCTAAATACGGACTAGCGTCCAGAATACGGACACTTTGCTGTTTTATACTTACTAGTAAAGCCCCTAAATCGAAAATGGGTATCCGGAATATAGCTGCCGAGGGTTCGCTGGAAAGGTTAGACCCTCTAGAATCTAGATTTGAAGAAATATTTCCGATATCTTGCATACTGCTCTCTCCAAAAAATGCCAAAGTTGCTGTTTAGGGCGCCAAAAAAAACGGTCAATTTTTATACTGCTTTGCAAGAATGTGAGGCTCTCAACGGCGGGTGATCGCAAACTTTAAGGTTGACATATTTGAAACTAGGACTCTTCACCTTCAAGATGACACAAGAAAATTTTGTTTATGTCACTTGTGTCAAGTTTGAGAAGTTATTTCCGAAAGTCTCCTAAACACGGACAGAGGATTTTACATGCAAAAGTGACTGCTGTCCGTATTTAGGGCACTTTAAACGACTTTAAAAACGATCTTTAAGCAATTCTGGCGGCTAAACTATACCAGATAAGAAAATTTCACCAGCAGGGTAAGGTCAATTTTTTTTCATGAAGTTTCTATTCCCCCCCAACAATTTTTCACTGTTCATAATTTTTAAAGGCTGTCCGTATTTAGAGCGCTTAGGCCCCTAAATACGGACACTCTTCTAGCGTGGCTCACTGGTACACCTTAAGTGATAAAAAACCGTTCAAGGTGTTGGTAGGTGTGTCTCGGTCCGAAGATTTTATAATCCCCGCCGATTTTCAATTTGGTCAAAACTACAGATTTTACAGGCCTTCCTCTCTAAAAATCGTCCGTATTTAGGGACAATGACTGTACTGAGAAACCATAAAAGTAACTAGAAAGAACTAAAAAGAAAGGTACAAGCCTAGATCCACTGATACCTACCTGGATACTGACTTTTCGATGCTTTCGCTCTTCTACCTAGGCACTGTACCTCAACCTCATCTAACTTCAACCTTCACCTACAACAGTTTACTTGCCTGGTGGGGAAACTGGCCTCTGTGGGCGTGGTGACCTCTAGTTATACGCTTATCAGAGCTGATTTCTGAAAATTTCTCGTTGTCATAGTCTTCCTCCTCGTCGATGCTCTGTGCATACAGAGAATATATCGAGGGTTTCCACAAAATACAAGCCACAGCGAAACTACTTATTGCAAAACTCAATTGTAAAACGACCTAATCCTAAACTAACAACAAAAATGACGTATCATACTATGGTTTAGGGTGATCTTGAGTCGTAATTTTACGGCTCTATTTGTTATGGAACAACATTTGTCGTGTGCATACGACCCGAAGTCGTTCCAGAACGACATTGACGTATATTCACGACCCAAAATTGTTCCAGAACGACAATGTTTCATGATTTAAAAATTAGATTAATTAAAGGAAATTTCCAGTTTAGTCTGCTGACCTTTAATAAAACGAAATCTATTGTTATGACAGGAGTATATCGTAATATTACGATGTCCTAATTATCTTTGTTGTCACCCAACAACATAGTCATCGTTTATTGAAAAAAAAAAACCATTCAATCGAAATTTAACAATCTTGTCGTACCAAAAAATGTCGTTAATCTACAATTATTTTTAACTGTGATGATTATTTTGCTTTTCCCATGACTGAAAAGCAGTTCAGCCGCGCGTTCCAAGACTCAAGCAGCTCCTGCTCCTATCTCGGGAGCGGTAAACTGCGTGACGTTCGGATCGTGCGTCTGAAATGCGTTAGTCTTGGATCGGGCGTCTGTACTGGGTGCCTTTCAGTATAAGGTATCGAACAACTGTTCATGAAAACTACAGGGGCCGATTAACGCGTCACCGTTAGAATTTTTCTTTTTCCATTAGCCGTATGGCAGCCCTACATCCAAACAACACCCAAGCCCAAGCAATTTCAATAAAATTTAGTGCAAAACCAAGCAAAAAATGAGAAATTTTTTTACTTAATGCTGATGTTTATCCGCCTTTACATTTTTGAGCAAATTTAGCTCTAAGATTGAAATTTTTATGAAAACCGCCGATCTGATTCACACCAACGATGGGCCACACAATTTCGTTTCTCTCTTTCAATCTGTTGCCGTTCCTGTTGTTTTAGGAAAAAAAAAGTTTGAATTCAAAATTGAAGAGGAGGACACAAGCTTACCACTAATGTTTTTTACATTCCCATTATTGAAAATGGTTTCTCAGTGGAGGGAAAAAAATTCTAACGCTGACGCGTTAACGGTCCCCATAGATTTTAATGTTAAAATTGGAATAACACTACAACGATTCATTATATTAGATACTGATGTTGATCAGATTAATACATTGCAAAATGCTTGCAAAGAATAGGTTCGTATTGCAAACTATTTTCTTTGCAGCTTGCAAAGAATTTTCAAGCATAGTAAAACGAACTAGTTCTTCGCAAGCTTACAAACTATTTCTTTGCAATGCAAACACATTGTTTGCAAGGATTCTGCAAGCTTGCAAAGAACTTCTTTGCAATACGAACTAATTCTTTGCAATACAAAGCTCACAAATTCTTTGCAACGTTGCAAAGAATATAGTTTGCAAGCATTTTACAGTGTAAAATCATCGACTAAAAATCTTTATATTTACTTACGGTGGTTAATTTCTTGTGCACTAAAAATTCTAAACAATTTGTTTATTAGAAATATTTCAAAGTTTAGTATGCTGATCGTTCGGCAAGCTAGCTTGCTCAAATGAACACCGTAATTATACTCACGACAAGGAACGAGAAACTTGTATTCTTAAATAAGGTAAAAACATAATATACATTATCAGTTATAGGTTGGCTGCATCAGTTTACCTCCGCCCCTTTTCAAATGAAATTATTACAAGGCGGAACTACAGTCCCAGCCAACAATCAAAGCCGTGGCTGGCGCTCAGCGGCCGCGTTCAAAACGGCATCTGTGTTTGCATCTTTCTACACGGCGGCACGATAGTATTATTTAAACGCCACCACCGAATCGACGCCAGGGCCAAATATTTTTTGGGTAGGATTGTACAAAGCAACAGGCGATCGATTCCATTGGTCGAACTTTCCCGCGCAAATTTGTGATTGGCCGAAATTTACCTGGCTCGACTCGTCCTGCTGCTCAGCTCGTCATTTCTATGGAAACGCGTGGATGCAAACTCAAATTTCTCAAATTTCACCAGACAAAATTGCATTTAACATGTCCCAAAAAATTGCAAATTTTCTGAAGTATTTTTTATTCAAATTTCATTTAATTCGTTCAGGCACGATCGGTTTTGCCATTAGGGGCCATCGACAAGAATAAAAAAAAACTTTCGGGCGAAAGCAATACACTGATAAACTAAGTGTTCAACTGCTCAACACTTGTACGTGTGCAACTGCAAGTTGAATACTTGCAAGTGTGCAACTCCGTATTCGTACACTTGCAAGTGTTAAACTCGGTAGGTGTGCACTTGCAAGTGTGCAACTCCTCGGTTGAACACTTCCTTAGATTGGACGCTTACTATGTAGGAAGTGCTCAACCGAGGAGTTGCACACTTGCAAGTATTCAACTTGCAGTTGCACACTTGCAAGTATTTGACTTGCGATTGCACACTTAGAAGTGTTGAGCAGTTGAACACTTAGTTTATCAGTGTAGGCACCCCTAATCGGGGGCCTAAAAATGGGTGTTCCTTCATTTTTAGCCCGCTCTTTTGCTTAAAAGCTATAGAAGCGGGCTAATGCCATCGCCCTTGTGTCTGTCTGTCTGTCTGTCCGTCTGTCCGTTCCCCAAGAAGGACGTGAGCGAGAGGTCTGAAAATTTCAGGGTATTATTCTTGTCACTTTTGGACAACGAAACGGTTGGTGCAAATCCTGGCAACCACCCCTGAGTGGGTCTGAGGGGGTAACAAAGAAATAGAGGTTGGTCCAAGAAGTGGAAAAAAAATATTTTTTTTATGGTCACCTAAAGGGTAACTCGTGAAAGTAGAGCCCTATGGGCGTAAATTTCGTCCGTTTGGCTCTATCTCTCACCGTTTAGGCGCTAAAGCGAGTTTT